ATTGAAATTGGGATTTGAATCAAATATAGATTAACAGTGGCCGATGTACTAGAGACACTGACTGGGATAACCAGGGAAGGCAGTAACTACTAACTACATTGTTATTCCTGGATTTTGAATCCTGATTATAACTTATAGCAGACTGCTATTTTTCTTTTCTCCCTGATGCATTCGTGCCTCCTGGTTATATGACTGGGTTTGATAGTGAACTTGCCTGGGCAATATGTCAATTAGACTACTGACTATTTTTCTGTTGGGAACCTTGATTCGCAACTGGATAACTACCGTTCTGAATATGCCAGATGGCATGGCTGTGAGGAACTGGTTAGAGATAGATTGGAATGAGAGAATAACTATAGATTAGATTTAGGACCCCAATAGCTGGGGAACGTTCGCTGGGAAGGGTTGGCATTTCCAAACGTTTTTCCTGGCAGTTTAAGTTATGTGAAGATGGCAGTTTCTTCAGAAGAGCATGTCAGTTTATTGTGTAGAAGGCAATTTTTCCAAGAAAACTGCCACCGCTTGATCATGATCCAATGGCTGTAGGGGTGTTCGCTTGGAGCTCCCTCCCAGGGAACATCAGCCAGTTAACATTACCGTAGATTTATTGTTCTTGCTTGATTCTCAAACCTTACATGACATGCACTACTCCCTCTGTACCATAATGTATGACGTTTTAACAGTTCAAATGGTACGGAGGGAGTATAATATTTCCTAACTTGACACCCAGGGTGTTGTACTCTAACTAGGAAACCCTCTAATATGAGTATCTGAATCCATACTTTCCTAATACGTACTGTCCCGAATTCTATATGTGCAGAACTCCTTGCTCGAATATCATTGGGCCTCTCCTTCCTAGTTCAAGTTATCTCATCTTTCCTAGTTCAAGTCGTCTCCTTCCTGAACTCTTCCTAGCCAACTCCTTGCTTGGATATCATTCGGCGTCTCTTACCTGTACAGAACTCACGTGCCAATTGTACACCTTGCCGGCTGGCCGGCCACAATACATGTGATGCTGCTTTGAGGCAACGTACTCATGTCCACAACATTTTCACACTATGTGTATTACCACAATCTACAGTTGCCTGTAATGTTCCTCTCATGTTGTCCACTTGCTTTGTTTCTGTTTGAACGGGTTTGAGCTGTCTTGAGCTATCACCGGCACTGGCTTTCTTAAACCAAAGTTAAACTAGCTAGGTAAGTTAATATGTATTGAGGAACCCCAGTTATTGTTCTTCTTGATGCAAGAAAGTAGCTGCAAATTTTCAGCAATGTTTTTTGGCAGGTGCTTTATCTTTTCCTATACGACTTGCAGCTCTTTCTGAATGAACTGTGTAATTATAATCTGATATTTTGCAAACCAGGTTGTGAGGCTTGTAACTTGTATGAGGTAAGTGGAATAAGGTATCTATCGAAGGGAGCACAACCTTTAGACCTTATTGTGAAGCAAACTAATGCTTCTGACTACATTCCCAAGGTTTCCTGAAAAAAAAAGATCGTGTAAGGGTGTTGCGCCTTATGGTGGATCATCAGTATAACTGTTTGCTTCTAATAATGGAAAAACCTGCGTATTCTTAAAAAAATATAAATAAAGCTTAAAGCCCTTCCAGCTTTTCTACCAGCAGAATGTATTTATCATTTGGGTTGATTAAGAAAACTACTCATACTGCAGCATAGCAATTCAGCTTAAGTGATGCCTGTTGGGCATTACAGATATGATTAGGACAATGTGTACTTTATTTTCAAAGAGAGAAGGGAAATGGCATGTGAAAACTGGAAAGCATTGCACGACACAATGGAGGGTGCAGATTTCTCATGACATGATTAATGATGTTTAATTTTTCTAGCCTTTGGCAGATATGTGCAGCCTTTTCTACCTACAGAAGGTTGGACAATATGGTTGCATATCTGTCATGGTAGGAGAAATGTGTGATTTATCTAACAGGCCAGCAAATTAGGTTGAAGGAGAATCGCTAGTGCCATGAGAAGAGTGCCTTAAATTCAAGTAAGTTTTAGCTTATCATCTCAGTAGTTTTTGTATTAGATTCTTACTTTCGCAATCTTGTGATAAGTTTCAAAATAAGACATACAAGAAATGGCTATTTTTTTGTAGTTATTTCTTTCAACACTGGTGTTTTTGCTGTACCTTTGTCGAACAAGCCATTCTATTTGCAAGACGAAACGACGATACCAATGGGATGTTTCTGTAAATTTAGATAAAGGTATAGCCTTTTTATACGCAACACTCTGCTAGAATAGTAACTGCACCAAATCAAGATCGTGTTTCATATTTCTGAAGTGTTGCTGTTCTCCAAATCTTGTGTCAGTTGCACTTTGCTAGACGAGTAACTGCACTAAATCCACATGGGCTTACAAAATCTTAGCAAGTTAGCATAACAACTAGTAGGAAACATTGTGTTATTCTGATTGAATTTGGAAGCAAGAACTAATAGCTTTACTTCCGAGTTAGAGAAACTTTCCTGTGCAACTTAACTGCAATTGTATCCTAAAGAAAATTTAAATTTTAATGCTCTTTGAACTAGAGTAACACGCAAAAGGAACATTGGATGACACATTGGATGAACTGGCCGGTGTGCCAGTGCGTGCAACGTGCACACATTGTGATACAAGATTGAACATCTTGTATGTCCTGGAGCCCGATTTGTAGTCGACGAAGACAATGGGTTTGCCAGTCTTCGGGCTTGCCTGGAAATGGCTTCACTTTCTTCATGAACAGACAACCGAATGTGCGAAGAAAGCTCACCACCGGCTTCCTGGCTGCCATGCCAATCTTTGGACGGCGTCTTTTCGTCGAGGGCTTATGTCAGCGCATAGCTCAGGAGAAAGACGGCCGTAGAGACCTCCTCGCCCCAAAACTTCGTAGGCATGCTGCTTTGCTTGAGCATGCTGCATGCTGTGGCCACGATGGTTTGATTCCGCCGCTCGCTGACGTCGCTTTGCTGCGGTGAGTGTGACACCTGCGCGGAGTGATGCCTCTACACACCTTGATGTGTGCAATAGTCGTTGAATTCGATCAACATGAACTCACCACCGTAGTCGGTTTGTAGCTCGGAACTTGTTGCTACTTTCTGAGTTCTACAACCTCCTAGAAGCGTTTGATTGCCATCGGTGCTTCGCACATTTTGCTGCCAATAACACCAGCCATTGAAGCGGTTGTGGTCGTAGACAAGGAAGAAACGCTTGCTGTCGGGACCTGCTGGTGGGCTGGGCCAGAGAGGTCGCCATGGACCAAATCCAGAGCACTCTCATGCTCTGCTCTTAATTTTACCTTCGCCAGGAAGCAGGAAAGACGAACGCGGCTGCTTGGTGAGGATGCAGGTGTCACAGAGGTGGTAGGCTTCGAACCATCTATATTGATGTGCCATCTGCAGCTGATGTGGCCGTACCGTTCGTGCCACCGCCAAGGAGTGTCATCCTGACAAGTCGAGAGGCTGTGTGGCATTCCTCGTTGGACCTTGACAAGTGTGCATCAACCCCCTCTTGGTTGCCACCTTTGGGCCTTTCTCGCTCAAACTCTAATATACAACCGTGAACTATGAAACCGTCTATTTTACAACCTTAAACTTTCAAAACCGGACAAGAAACAACCATTGGCTGGTTTTTAACTGTGTCTGACTGGTCAACAGCCCAGTCAGCCGCCATGCCAACCATGCTTCTGAATTTGAGTTTTGTTTCTATTTTTTTCTTTCTTTTTTTGCGAAAGTTGTTTCTATTTTTTTTCTGTTCGGAAAAACTTCTTATACGTTCCCAGATTGAATATAAGGGTAGTGTAGATTTTTGAGATTTTTTTGGAATTTTTCTGGAAACTTTTTTTTGGGCCAAATTTTGTCCCCAAATGCTCCTAAATTTGAATTTTTCTTCTAGTTTTCTTTTTCTGTTTGGCAAAACTTCTTGAAACTTTCCCAGATTGGATATTTATGAGAATTTTTTGGAATTTTCCTGGAAACCTTTTTTTTGGCCAAATTTTACCCAAAATGCTCCAGAATTTGAATTTTGCTTGTAGTTTTTTTTCCTGTTCGAAAAAACTTCTTGAAATTTTCCCAGATTGAATACAAGGGCATTGTTCATTTTTTAGATTTTTAAAAATAATTCTGGGCACTTTCATTTTTTGGAAGCATTTAGCCATCAAAATATGGTATAAGTCACTTAGGTCAAGAATTTTGTAAGTCACTTCATATGTTCAAAAGACCAAAATATCCGAAAATGACACATAATTCAAGAAGTTAGGTCTCACACATTACAACATTCTCACACATAGCTTCATGACATCCCTTGCCCCATCTGGTAGCCTATACTGCATCGTACCGACATGGTTTATTATGTGCCGCAAAATTACAACAGCCTATACTTCATGGTGTTATATATAGAGTGCAGGATCGGTACAGGGGGGTAAGTCAGTTTGTATAAACCTGGCAGCCCACTAGTGATAGACAGCATTACAAAACAAAGTTTGGCACTGCTAATCTTGGCTTAGTGCCTGAGACTTTACATCATGTTCCCTGGCTACTGGCTTATGAAACTGTGAAGTAAAAGCAACCGGTATGGAAGAACATAATGCACTATTCTATTGCAGATCCATATCTAGAAACTACTACTTGCAGAGCTCAATGAACCGACTTCTAACTCTTTTAGCATTATAAATAATTTATACCAGACACAGTATATCGCAACGCATTATCAAACTAATTGATCCAATTTGAACCGACCATTATCAAAACAGTTATATCATGATGAGTAAAATTGTCATACAAACATAAAAGAAAATACCGCGCTTCACCTAATTCCCCCCTACCAGCCTTGCAGCCTGTGAGGATACCAACCACAATTTGAATAAGGCAATGCAGAAAATCTGGAGAATGGATCTAATCTTCCCAATTCATGACATAAGGTATACACTGCATAGATAATGGCATAGCTGTTTTTTTTTTTCTCTTCTGATGCCTTGTTCAGCCTGCTTTCATGCTTCTGGTAAGATGCCATCAAAAGTATGCAGGATGATAGTCTTCATCGTCGCATTCCATGAGATTTCTAGCAATTTGATCCATTGTTGGCCTCTTGCTTCTTTCATCAAGGCATGAAATAGCTATCTTCACCATAACTGTTGCTTGCTTGTGATTGAAATGCCCTTTCAGTCTAGCATCCACTATATCCAGGTCAGCCCCATTAGCGAGCATCTGTTTTACCGCCTGAACAAATTGCATGAACCCCATCTCTTCTCCGCCTTCTGTTGCCCCACTGGGAATTTGCATCAAGTCCATCTCATCTTTGTCTGCTGTCACCCCGCTGGAAACCCTACTCCCAGTGACAATCTCTAGAAGCACAACTCCGAAGCTGTAAACATCTACCTTTGCATCGATTGGCAAATTCATCACCCATTCTGGCGCCATATAGCCCGTTGTGCCTCTCATCTGAGTAAAATTTAAGCTAGAACTATCTCTCTCAGAGAGCTTGGATAGTCCAAAGTCTGCTATCTTGGCTTCGAATTCTCGTGTCAGCAGTATATTTTCTGGCTTTACATCACAATGGACAATCCATTCGAGGCATTCGTGATGCAGGTAAGCAAGGCCTCTTGCTGTCCCCAAGGCAATCTTGAACCGTTGACCCCATGAGAGCAGTCTTTCAGTGCCTCTGCCATCAAAAAGGTATCTGTCCAATGACTCATTCTCCACAAACTCGTAGACTAATAACCTGTGTTGGCCTTCTGAGCAAAACCCATACATTCGTACCAAATTCATGTGGTTGATCCTCCCAATGAGAGTTACTTCTGCCCAAAATTCCTCTTCACCTTTTCTAACATCTGTAAGCTTCTTTACCGCCACAACCTTCTTGTCTCCGAGTATTCCTCTGTAAACTACTCCATTGCCACCCTTCCCTAGCTCTTCTTTGAACTTCCCTGTTGCTTCAACCAACTCACGGTACGTAAACCTCCTGAACTGGCTTGTTATCATCTTGTAACCTTCCTCCATGGACTTGGGTATGTTGTGCATTTTGAAAAGGAAGTACCATCCTGTCATGATAAAAAGCAATTCAACTGCCCCTAATATAGCAGCAAAGATGTAGAAGTATGCCCAGCTTATGCGGTCAGAGTTTTGTATGTATGCATCTGCAGACACTACCATAACCTTGGATCTCTCCGGACTGCAGGTAATACCAGGATGATTGGCGGCTGGAGATGTTGAACTGACACTCTTAGGAAGTTTGAAGTAGTTGTCTCCTGGGAAGTATGGATAGACCTGGCCGTTGTAGAGCACATTTTTAGTGTAACATAAACCCTCTCCAGCTTTGTATGTGAAAGATATGCACAGGCAGCTCTCCAAGCAAATCCGCTGGCATTCTTCGAGGGAGATTGACTTGTTGGAAGTGAGATCAAAGCCGTAAAAGTCACCATGAGGAACCTTGACGAATTGAAAATCCTCCTTTGGTTGCCCGCATTGGATGCTGAACGTTGGCGTGCAGCCTCTGTCCCAGTTCTCGGGATCAACCATCTTATATCCTGGAGGACAAGTGCATCTGGGACGGCCTGCTGGTGAGTACTCACAAATTCCATTCTTTCCACACAATCCATGCACATAACAGATCTGCTGTACACCCTGCCCTGTGATACTCCAGTTGCCACTTGATGCATTCAAACTGTACATTCTGAAGTTCCCGTCGTAGTCGATGGTGATCCTTCTCTGGATCCCCAAACCCGAGTCCGAGGCTATCATCTTGAACCCATCGCTCGACAAGAACTTGCCCTCGCGGTCCAGGACCGCGATCTTGCTGCTGTTGAACCGGGTCCGGCCGTTCTGCAGTGCATTGTAATCAGGGCTTGGCCAGTATATGCTTGTGATGTCCGGTCCGTTGTACAGGAGGCGTAGGACGTTGTCATTGTCGAAATAGAGGACATGGTAACTATCGGACTGGGAGACCAACTTGTTTGCTCTCGTCAGACGCTGCGTCGGGAGCAAGGTGTTGGTGGGCAAATCGAAGCTCTGCCATACGGTCTTACCGGCCGAGTCGTTGATTACGAGGTTCCCGGTGTCGAGGAGAGCCACTGTTGTGTGCTTGCCCCAGCTCGTCCTGCTCTCCCATGCCGTGGAGCCATTGACGTCGGTGAGGACCAGGTTGCCCTCACGGTTCAGGGATATCCTGGAGCCCTGGCCGTTCACCGGAGAGCGAGGATTCGCCGTCCAGATGACGGTCTTGTCGGTGGCGTGCGTGAACCAGATGGAGAAGTAGAAGGCGTTGGTGCCGTTCCCGGACGGGTAGAAGCCGCAGGAGAAGGTGGTGTCTGGCGAGACGAGCAGGACTTTCTCACGATCTACTTGCAGAGATGTGCCTGTGCTTATGGTGCTCTGCCATGGGGACACACAGGAGCAGAGCAGAGTGGAGAGCAAGGGAAGAAGAAGGGCTACTGGGTAGAAGAAGAGCCTAGGCATCTTTCTGGTTGTTGGAGGTGATGACAGACAGACAGACAGGGGAGTAGGCTCCTTATGCAGCCTTTGCGGGGCTCTTTCAGTGGGGTTCCTGTCCATCTCGTGACCAGCATTGTGTACTGAGCTACTCCCTCCATTCGGAAATACTTGTGTTAAAAATGGTTGTATTTAAAACTAAAACAATTCTAGATACAACCATTTTTAGGACAAGTATTTCCAAACGGAGGAAGTACTATCCATTTGTTTGTTTATGACCACGGAGGTGATGAGTGCGTCTGCTGGTCTAGGAATCTACGTATACTGTTTTCAGTGTGTGATCTTGAGTAGTAACTTTCTCTGACCCAGAAAACCACTGGCCTGATCTGGACAAGATAGGAAGACTGAGAGTTGCGCTGGCCCTTTGCTTCATCTCCAGCGGCTGTCGTCACGGCGGAAGAGCAGCAATCTCGGTGCGGCGGCGGCGGCTCGGCCTTCTTCGGTATTTTCTTGGCTGGCACGCGTGTGCGTCTGCGTGTCTCTTCCCTTGGCCTGTGCTGGGCTGTAATCCTCTCCCATCCTTGTTCGGTGGATTCGCCGCATGGTGCCACGGTCTACCGAATGCAGGGCTGGCCACTTTTGCCCCAGAGAGAGAAAGGGAAGGTGGAGGCAAGGAATTTACACCAAATATCGCTTTCATATGCGGTCCACATGGGTATCATGAACGCATGAATATCCATCATGTGCTGTTTCTAGGTGACCACTGACTCGGCCATGTCCCTCTCGTTGCCATTACAGTGCTGCTCAATAACTGTGGTCTTTAATTTAGTTAGTCTTCAAGCTTCGCAATTGAATGTCTTCTACAATGGTTGAATCATTGTCATCTGTTCATACATGGCCCCGTGTGGTCATCTCTGATGGCTATCGTGCATCGGTTTGTTATTTCAACCAGATATTCTATGGCTGGATTCCCCTCTAACTTCTTTTATAAATCTGGATCTCTTTTTCTGCGGGTGGCATCCGTATTTGGAGCTAGCTTTGGCTGGCTCGTGGGAACGGCACGGAAAACGCTACGTCCGTGCCTGGCCTAGTTCCCTAAATAAAGGAGTCTCACCTAATAGCGTGGGCATCTCGTCTCGTGGTATGAGTATCGGTCTGTACTATCTTACTATCTTACCTTTTCTTTAAAAATGGTGTACTATCTTACTTGCGTGGTGCGTATTCCCTTGAAAGAAGTCGTCATGCATATGCCACCGAAGTTACTAATCGAGTTTGGTTCTTGCACCGCTGCACGAGGGGCTCTGACTTCTTATATGCGGCTAAAGTACCTATAATTCTTTTCTGGTTTTGTCTTTGTAGCTTGTGTCACTTGCTCTGAACGTAGCTCGCTAGCTCCTAGATATATACTACATCCGTAAAGAAATGTAAGAGCGTTTATAGATCACTAAAGATATATTTTTGGACCAAAGATTGTAGAACAATTGTTCTACGGTAATTTTTATTAATTAAAATATTTACAAAGGAATGGAAAAAAACACACAATTAGCCAACACCAGTTCTAGGGAACTCCATAAATAAATCAAAAGCAGATTTACTTCAAATTGCTCGAAAGCATCTTTGTGCTTGTTCTTTGTCCTCAAAACTATCAACTGTAAACCATTTCTTACTTGAATCCTCCATGACTGATCCAAGGGTGTGATGTTTTTGAAGATTTTGGCGTTTCTCTGCACCCATAAGTTCCAGCAACCCACGATGACAATCTCCATCATGAATTGAGCAGGAAGGTGCTCTACCATTATCCTTAATTCATCTAGCACATTGATGCCCCTTTTCCTGTCCAACATGATAGTATCCCAACAGCTAAGGGAAAATGGACAATCCCAAAAGAGATGAAGAGTAGTTTCCTCATGGTGTGTATCACATAAAGCACATAGGTATCTTTTTTTTAGAAAAAGAGGTTAACCCCCAGCCTCTGCATCATTCGATGCACACAACCATTTTATTAAGAAAAGATGTCAAAAGTCTCCTCAAGTGGTTTTAAAAGGTCATGAAGAAACAAATGTCACACGCGGCCAAAAATAAAAAAAAGCCACAACCGGCTATAATAGATCAAGATGTCTACACACCTAACCTATTACTGGACCGCCATCCATATCGGTCGTATGTATCCCGTGCAGCCGTTTCCCATCGGTTGCACCCAATAGTCATGTGCGCCCTGTGGTCCTTATGGCTCAGCAAGGACCACGTACGGATCCATGTAGACGCTCTGAAGATGACCTGCAAAAAATTAGTAATGTTTTGTTTGTTAAAGGCTACATCATTCCGACAATTCCATATCGCCTAAAGCAACGCACATGCTCCGACTTTGATTTGTGCAGCTGTCTGAGGTGCCACCCCATTCAGCCAGTCATGAAAAAACTGTGATATTGAAGTTGGCGGAGTGATGTTAAAAGCAACATGAATAGTTCTCCAAAGTAATCTAGCAATAGGACATTTAATAAGTAGATGTTCAATTGTTTCATTTTGGTCACAAAAGCAACATCGTTGACTCCCTTCCCAATTGCGTTTGGCTAGATTATCTTTGGTTAAGATTACACCTTTGTGAACAAACCACATAAACACTTTTATTTTCAATGGCACCTTAATTTTCCAGATATGGCCCGACCTTGGGATGTCTCCAGTATTGATTAAATCCGTATACATTGATTTAACCGTGAAAACACCTGACCCCGTTAACTTCCAACTTATCGTGTCATTGGCATCCGAAAGATTAATCTCCATTAACCTACGCATAAGATGCAACCATGTATCCCAACGTGGACCCACAAGTGCCCGTTGAAATTGAATATTAAGTGGAATGGACTGCAACACAGACGCAACGGAAACTTCTTTCCGTTGTGCAATGTGATATAAAACTGGATACTGTAACGCTAATGGAGTGCCCCCTAACCAGGTATCCTCCCAGAATCGAGTTCGTTGCCCATTTCCCACTTTAAATGTCACTCTGTTAAAGAAAGCAACCTTCGTCCTCATAAGTCCTTTCCAAAAAGGTGAGTCCGACGGCTGTGCCGTTACCTGAGCCAAAAACTTAGCGTATAAGTATTTGTTTCTAAGTAATTGCAACCACACTCCCTCAGTCTCCACTGAAAGGCGGTATAACCATTTGCTCAATAAGCACCTATTTTTCACTTCTAAATTCTCAACACCCAATCCACTCTGGTCCTTTGGTCTACAAATCATCTCCCACTTGGCGAGCCTATACTTGGCCTTATTCTCATCAATTTGCCAAAAGAATCTGGATCGGTAGATGTTAATCTTTTCCGTACTCCTACTGGTACTTCAAAGAAAGAGAGGAGGAACATCGGCATGCTCGTCAGCACCGAATTAATAAGAGTTAGCCTTCCTCCGTACGATAAAAGTTTGCCTTTCCAGCAACTTAATTTCTTCTCAAACCGATCCTCAATACATTTCCATTCTTTATTAGTGAGTTTGCGATGATGAATTGGTATCCCTAGATACGTAAAGGGAAGCGCACCTAATTCACACCCGAACAACTATTTATATCTTTCTTGCTCCTCCTTGGCGTGTCCAAAGCAGAACAATTCACTCTTATTAAAATTAATCTTGAGGTCGGACATTTGTTCGAATAAGCAAAGAACTAACTTCACGTTCCTTGCTTTCGCGAGGTCATGCTCCATGAAAATAATTGTATCATCTGCGTATTGTAGGATAGATACCCCACCATCAACTAGATGTGGGATAAGACCACCTACCTGACCATCTTGTTTCGCTCTGTTAACAAGCACAATCAACATATCAACCACAATATTAAAAAGGACCGGTGACATGGGATCACCCTGTCTTAATCCTTTAAGCATTTGAAAGTAATGACCAATATCGTCATTAACTTTAATACCAACGCTCCCTCCCTGCACAAAGGATTCGACCTGTTTTCTCCAGGCTTCGTCAAATCCTTTCATGCGCAAAACTTGTTGCAAAAAAGGCCACTTGACTTTATCGTAGGCCTTTTCAAAATCCACTTTGAAGATCACGCCATCAAGTTTCTTTGAGTGGATTTCATGAAGGGTCTCATGCAAGACAACCACCCCCTCTAGGATATGTCGTCCTGGCATGAAAGTGGTCTGTGTTGGTTGCACCACACTATGCGCAATCTGTGCCAGCCTTCGTGAAAATTTTAAAGCTCACATTGAGCAAACAGATCGGCCTGGATTTCTCAATGTGGAACGCTCCCTCCTTTGGTAGCAAAGTAATAGTCCCAAAGTTTAATTTGAAAAGTTGCAGGTGTCCATTAAAGAGATCATTGAACATAGGCATCAAGTCACCTTTAATGATACCCCAGCACTTCTTATAAAATTCCGCTGGAAAACCATTCGGACCAGGAGCTTTGTTGTTTTTCATTTGAGCAATCGCTTCATACACCTCCTTCTTCGAAAAAGGGGCTGTGAGAATCTCATTCTCATCATCTCGAAGTTGAGGTATGTCATCAACTCTGTCCTCATCCAGGTTGACAAAATTCTCAACTGGAGCCCCGAATAATTGTTTATAGAAATTTGAGATGTAAAGCTTAAGGTTCTCATGGCCTACAATCGTTCCCTCCTCCTGTTCAAGTTGAATGATTTTCTTTTTCCTATGTTTTGGAAAAATTGAGTGTTGTTGTCCCCTTGAACCACTTGGCGTACTTTTGCTCTACGCGCCCACTTCATTTCTTCCTCTCTAAGAAGCTTTGCCAGACTGACCTCAGCCTCTCTCTTAGATACCCGGTCATCTATGGCTAGAGGCACACTCTCTGCCTTAATGTCAAGATCATCAATCAACTTGAGAAGTCTCTCCTTCTCAAGTCTAAGGAACTGTCTAAGATGTCTAATCTTGTATTGCCATCTTTCCTCCGCAGAGGCACCTCTTTGCTCAGCCGCCCACTCCCTTGCTACCAACTCAAGGAAGTCCTCTCTCTCAAACCACGCATTTTCGAAAGAGAAAACACTCTTATTGCCCAAGTGAGTCGCCTCACCTGAATCAACAAGAAGTGGCGTATGATCAGAAACTCCTCTAGGCATTGCCTGCACTGACACTAGAGGAAATTTTTGTTCCCACTCAACACTCGT